TATTCTATTGCTTGGAAGAAGTATTTAATGCAGTATTGACTTGCCCAAAGGTTTTAATTATCATACATTTTAATGGGGAAATTGGGGGCTTTCAATAATTTCTGTGGGTTACTTTTCTTGAAACTCCTTACTCATTTTAGGCCATATTTCAATGTAAAATATTTTAATTAAAATCAATTAAAATGGACACAATAGAAGAGTGGTAGAAAAGGAAATGCTGCAGATTGTACTTGTGAATTTGTTGAGCTCAGGATAAGAAGGCAGCATCTGTTCCAGAAATATTATCTAGTTAAGACATAAGAAGTCAAACATACCTAACTGTCCTGCATTTCACATTCTTTCAGCAGGAGGTGCCAAGAAGAAAAGGAGCAATCTACCATTTGCTAAGCCATCTGTTTCATAAGACCTATTCCTTATTTAGTTCTATCAGGGTTTTCATTTCTTTAAAAATTAGCGTCATCCAGGACCTCAAATAAAAGCATATGATAATATTGTCTAATAGTCATCTCAGCAACAGCCTCTATTTTTCTCAAAGTTGTTTCCCTGTTGATTTATGTTCTTCACAATGTGTACAGTGTGAAAAGAACACAATCTGTGAATCAGGAGCTCCGAGTCTTAATTATAACTCTGCTTTCTACTAATTTATGTAGAGCAGTTACCTACATCTGACCTTAAACTTCTCCCAATGTAAAATGGAAATAATATCTACTGTACTTGATGTGAGTTAAAATGTAAGCCCCATGAAGGAAATAATCTTTACCCGTTCTGTTCATTGATGCACCCCAAGCACCCAGAACATTGTTTGGCACATGGAAGATGCTCTTTAATACTTGTTGAATATGGTTAATACTGAAATAAATTGATACCTCTAAAATGCTTTGAAGACTATTATCCAAATAATAGAATTTTAAAATTAGAAGCATAAGGATCACTTAATTTAGACTCCTTGGTTTTTTAGATGAATAAAATAAGGACCAGAAAGACTAATCTGCAAAAGATGTTACAAACATACAGTTTCAGAGTTGGCAGTAGTCTAGGCTTTCCAAATTCTAATTTAGTTCTATTCCACCAAACCATGCCTTATTCTTATAAAATTATATAGCCAATTCATTACCTTAGTTTAGTGTTTTATAAATTTCAGTCTTATGTACACCACCCTCTCTATTTTTTGCAGAATTTACATAGGTTATTATTTATTTACTCACACTTTTTCTTTAGGTTGAGTAAATCATTAAACTTAAATACTTTATGTGTATCTTGTCTTAAATAATAATATCCATGAAATAATTTGTTGCATGAGTAATTTTTTCATTATATATTAAGATTAAAAAATAGTTAAGTACCAGTTAGGTAACACCTAAAATTGCTATCCCTATCTCCTGTAGTACATGTTTTTAGGAAAATTCTGCCTTGAAATATCTGTGCTATATTATGTTTCTACTAGAGGCCTGGTACATGAATTTGTGCACAGGTGGGGTCTGGCCAGTCTGCCCTAATTGGTGCAGATTGGACCGGGCAGCTTGGGGAGGGGCCGCAGGCAGTTGGCCCATTGACACCACCCCTGGTTGAACTCCTGGTCAAGCTCCCTGTTGAGGGGACAATTCGCAAATTATCCTTTTATTATATAGAATAGGATCATAAATCTTTTTCATAGAATTAATGATTCTAATATAATCAATTCAAAAATTTTATATTACAGAATAGGTAGCTAAAAATATGAAATACTTAGAAATCAAACATACATTTTCTCTTGCTGTTCTGTCTCAGTGGAGATGGAGAGTAAGATCATCATGCTATTGTAGTGGGTAGAGAATTCATAGTTACAAAAGTTACAAAGCAGGATGAGCAAAAAAGGAAATTTATTTTTTAATCATATTTAGCTCCTGAGTCTTCATTCCTGCTGTCTTACACATTATTTTTTCTTTGTTTTTGGATAAATCCAATATCAACTAAGTGTCTTTTATCCCCCTTCCTCTATATTCTTCCATGAGGAAGTCTAAGTTCAGACCAGGGGAGACTGGGTGGCATAATGGTGTTCTCTGAGCCCAGGTTCTCTCCTTCTCTCTCTTTGCAGCTTTCTTTCTTTTTAGTTCAAAAGGGTTTGTAAAAAATATTATATTTTGGTCTGTATGAAAATTAAATTTCTACATTTTCATTCATCATTCCACACTCTATGGTTTATGACATGCAATTATACAAACATATAAGCTTACATCTGCATAGGGAATTTCTGGAAAAAAATATGTAGACTGAAGGAGAGTTTTTAAGAAGAAGAGGAGGCTTTTAAAAATGTTTTATCTTTCTGCTGGAAGTCAGTTTCAGCATGTCATAATTGCAAGAGTTTCTCCATCTTGCCTTAGGACAAATTATATTAATAAAAAGCAAGGGGTCCTGAGACAAGGAAAACTTGGTTTCTTCAGCCAAGCTTCTTTCTGCTCTCTCCTCCCCCTTAAATTGCCTTTCAAATTTATGTTTTGTCTCTGGACTCTTATTTAATTTACACACAGCCCCTTCTCCAGATTCTAGAACCATTCTAGATGCTGGATCAAGACCACCAGCATTATCTTTCCATATGGCTTGCTTTTTAAAAAATGCTATGAACAGCATTACCGTTATTATTTTAAAACTGATTAAAAAATTTTAAAAAGTCTTGCCAAAGATGAATTTGTTTCAGAACAATTTTGTTTGATAATGATGTAATACTGATTTCAAAATAGAGCATAGTCATAGTCACAGCCACAATCAATATTATTAAAACGTTTAACTCTTGAGCACAATACAAAATACATTGACTCAGTATCTAGATTTCATTACTAATTCTGGGGCTAAAATTCATAGTGTGAATAAAATCAGGAGAAGTCATATTGTTATCTGTGTAAACATGTCTCCTACTTTTTTCACCAAAATCCTGTAACACATTTATTGTGGAGAGCCTTTTACCAAAACTTGCAGTAGTCCACATTTAAAAAGAAATAAGTTCTTTACAATTGGACCAAAACGTGCAGCATTTATATGTAGCTTCCTCTGAGTACTCATATTAATAGTCTTGCTGGCTTTTCTTGGCTTCCTAGTAATTTTTAGTAAATCCACTACAGGCTATAAGACTTGAGATTTCTTTTATGGGGCAGGCAGAGCACATTTCAGACTATACAATTTATAGATAATTTCCCTAAAAGGCAGTGAGAGAAAGAAGTTCTATACTCCTTTATAACGTCTTTGTATTTGAGCAATTACCGTGTTTCCCCGAAAATAAGACATCCTCTGAAAATAAGACCTACTTACAGGTTTTCTTCTGAGTGAAATATAAGGCATCCCCCCAAAATAAGGCCCCCACTAGGCTAAACATGAGAGATTTGGTCCACTGATTCTGAAAGAAATGGAGTCACAAGAAATTCACCAGGAAATTCAGGAATTGGATTTTTATGATGATGTTCCAGAAGATGATGACATGATTGTCATTGAATAAATGAGTAAATTATTTTTACTGTAGGATTCACAGTTTGTCTGGTTTGTGTTGACAACTACCGTTGTCATTTAACAATAAATGTGTACCGTATTCTTCTTCATGGAAAAATAAGACATCCCCTGAAAATAAGACCTAGCGCATCTTTGGGAGCAAAAATTAATATAAGACACTGTCTTATTTTCGGGGAAACAGGGTAGATTTGGGGTAACAGAACAATTGGAAGGAGAAACAACTTTCAACTGTTAAATAGTGATTGATAATGAAGAAAGTTTTAATTATTAAATGATCAACAATGCTGGATTCTTGATTAGAAACTTGATCAGCCATTACAAATGAGTTGTTCTCAGGCCAAATTTAGTCTTCAAATGTATCCATTTGGCTGGATAATGTTGTAAAACCTTAACCTTAAATGCTTTGTTTTTACATTCATGAACAATGTACCTCACTATAGACAGCATCATGTCTCAAGTTTTTATACCTACCCCTTCCCATTTACACCTATCTGCCTGACTCCTGAAAGAATTTGGGAATACTAGATGCTTTTAAATGTGCTAACTTCTTGTCATTTAATAGTATTGGAGGAGAGGTATAGGGATCATAGGGAAGTAATCTTTCTAATCCTGATCCAGTATGAATGGAGTTTTCCATTATATTTGCTTATTGAGATTTCTGAGCTTCCAAAGGGTTCATTAATCATATAAATATGGAACACCGACTACAGAATTAAATCCTTGGAAGGGATAATACACATGTTAAGAAATGCTGGGTTTGTCTTGTCACATAGCTGCATCAATATCAGAAGTAATAAATTCTTGATGTTGCATATTTAGAAATACTTCTGGAATTAACTGTAACACCTGTCCCAAAGTTAAATTACCAAGCTTTTTGATGAGAGGTTTTTAAAAATTTGAGTGTGATGTAATTCATTTTTAAAAATTCATTTCCTTGTATGCAATCATAATAAACCTGGGAGGTAGGTTATCAAATCAGGGAATTTGTAGGTGCTCAGCAAATGTTTATTGGTTAAATAAATAAAAGATAAGGAGGGTTCATCTTTCTATGCTTTCTAGAAACTTCCAGTTTTAATTTCTTTTTTTTTGATTTAAAGGTTATTTAGAAGCCTGAATCTTAATTTTTAAGTAGTTAACTTTTGTTTTGGTCACCTTTTAATTCTACTTTTACTGAGTGGTAAATATAGACTGTACTTTTAAGAACTTGTACATGATACATTTTTATAAATTGATTTTTCTTATGAAAAAAATATTTGAGAGGTGAAAGTTTTATATACATTTATGAAATTTAACTTATTTTTATATTTCATTTTTGAATGTCATTTTATTTATTATAAAATCTGTCCAATTTCTGAAAGAGGTGTGTTAGTATTATTATATATACACTTTAATCATGTATGAATTATCTAACAATATATAGATTTCCAAGTCTTCAAATGCATCCCTTTTTTTTTTTCAAAATATATTTTATTGATTTTTTACAGAGAGGAAGGGAGAGAGAGAGAGAGAGAGAGAGAGCTAAAAACATCAATGAGAGAGAAACATCGACCAGCTGCCTCCTGCACATCCCCTACCAGGGATGTGCCTGCAACCAATGTACATGCCCTTGACTGGAATCGAACCCAAACCGGTTTCAGCCAAATGCATCCCTTGAATGTAATGTGAACTATATTTAAAAAAAACTTTTTTTTTTTTTTTAATTTTTACCCTTCCTTTAGTTTGGCATGCATTATAATATCTGTGTTTGAATCATACTGTAGTTTTACCAGACACTTTCTTTAGAAGCATCTATAATAATGGATGTCATTCTGGATGTCCTTCTGGATGAAACCACAGCAGTGGGGCCGAGGCAGAGGTGGTTAGGGGTGATCAAGCAGGCAGGTGAATGGTTGGGAATGATTAGGTAGGCAGGTAAGTGGTGAAGGATGATCAGGCAGGCAGGCAGAAGCAGTTAGGGGTGATAAGGCAGGCAGGCAGAGTGGTCAGGGGTGATAGGCAGGTAGGCGAGCCGTTAGGGGCCGTCAGGAAGGCAGGTGAGTGGTTAGGGAAACCAGGCAGGCAGGCAGAAGGGTTAGAGTGATCAGGCAGGCAGGCAGAGGCAGGTAGGGGTGATCAGGCAGGCAGGCGAGTGGTTAGGGGCAATCAGGCAGGCAGGTGAGTGGTTATGGGTGATGATGTATCAGGCAAGTAGTTATGGGTGATGAGGGAGGCAGGCAGAGGGGTTAGGGGTAGTGAGGCAGGCAGATAGAGTGGTTAGGGACAATCAAGCAGTTAGGAGCCAGTGGTCCTGGATGTAAGAGGGATATCAAACTGCCTGTGAGACTGGGCCTAAACTGGCAGTCGGACATCCCCCGAAGGGTCCCAGATTGCGAGAGGGTGCAAGCCAGGCTGAGGGACCCCTGCCTTGTGCATGAATTTCGTGCACCAGGCCTTTAGTTTATATAATAATCATAGCATTTAAATTTTTCATGGATGAGGCAATATGATCTTCAACCATCTCCTCCTCTAAACCTCCAACTTTTCTTAGGATAGACTTGACATTATTGGCAGGGACTGTTTTTTGCTGTTATGAAAATAGTAGTAATTCTCCATTGTCAGATGGTAGAGTGATTTCAGCAGTCATATCATAAGTTTATTAACTGCAAAGGCATATCAGCTTTGGCTACAGACGTAGCATTAAAATTGCATAGCTCCCTTTTTCTGTGTCTCTGTGTTCAGCTGTCACCTTTGCTGTTCCTCAACTCCATGTTGGGAGTTGGCCAATGGCACAGCATCTGTTTGTGCACAGGACACCGTGGATGGGACAGAGAGGTTTCGGATGGCTCAGACCTTCCCATGGCCTGGCATATCTGTTCTAGAGTACTCTGTGAAAGGCAATGGATGGCAAACAAATCAGATAAAGGAAAAAGCATCCAGCATACAACTATGAGACATGATCTCACATATTAATTGAAGAGAAATGTTTGTTTCCACCGTCTAATTGAGTTTGGGTTTATTTTAAAATTCTGTTTACTTTCATTTGCTTCACTGCAGATTGGGAAGCTTGCCGAGCTTGTAAGGCTCCTGTCCCTCAAAATAATAAAAGAAGGTTGGCTCCCTTGGTGCTTCATTGCTACTCTTTCACTCCACTCCTCCCACAATTATTTTAGATATTTAGTAGGACACTTCCTGAGATGATTTAGGTTAAATGAAATCTGCAGTCAGACACTTGCTTGTTTCTTTGGAGTCAGCTCAAGTACGTATAAACACTGTTTAATAAGCCCCTGAAAAGATACCAGGATGAGGGTGTCCACTGGAGACCTCTTCGTTCCATGCTCTATGCTCTAAAAAAGAACAGCTGGCTTTTTAATCATGTAATTTAGTAATCTTCTTTCCCCCTTTACTCCATAATTACTCTTATGGGTTCTAATTCTATTTTTTTTTTTTTACCTCTTCTCAGTATGAATCCTAGGAAGAAATAAGTTGCACATGCAAATTGGATAATTTGAGTTGAGTTTAAAAGGAGACAATTTTAAAAAAAATAAGGTGACAATTTTAAACATGTAGGGAAAATAAAGAAATCTGGGTAGAATAACAATGGCCTGTTGCTAACAGAAGCTGAAGCCTTTAGTTAAGAGTCTCAAGCTAGTCCATGGAAATCTTGCAGAGGGTATTCAGAGGTATAAATACCCAACCTCTCTCTTGGTCTCTTATCTTTGCTGGTATATATCCCATTGACTGTACACAACTGAAAGGAAGAGGTCAAAAGAACTTGTAGATGTTGCCCATACTGTATCATACATATACCCCATTTCCCTACCACAGAGCAGGTGGAGAGGGAATCTGGAAGGGACAAAGAGAAGATTATTAGTGTTCTGTCTGGCCTCTGCTTCTCTGAATCCTTTATGGGTTCTATTTCCTCCCCCTTCTAATCTGTGTGCAGGTACTGCCTTTAATTATTGGGTCTTCTCACTCAAAAGTGTTCTTCGTTGGTGAACTCGGCATTTCTCATTTTCTTATAATTACTGAGATTCTGTTATTCCTTTCTGAAACTTTGGCTTTATCTTTAGCTGGGTTGCCTTTTAGATTTTCTTGAAAAACAAACAAACAAACAAACAAACAAACATAAAAAATAGATTCATCTTTCTCTAGGGCCACCATGGCTCACTATTTGTATGACTCAGTGTAAGGACTGTGGTAGTTTGCATACTAATCACTGAGAAACAGGAAACAATATTTTCCTCTCAGTATAACTGAATAGGATCAGATATTTTTCTCTGACTGTGCTGCTATGTTTGATTTGGACACACTGTACCTGAAACCGCTAGTGTGATTGGCTAGAATTCTTCCACATTTTAGGCCATGCAGATGTTAAAATTAAAAGAATTCCTGATATATAATGTACAACCTAGAGTATATAAATAGTAACCATAATATTATGTAAATAGCTTGTACACCATCCCAATTCATTGGCCTAAGTATTCTGACTCCAGAGCGCATACTCTAATGCTTTGCTATCCTGGATGAGGGGGTTTGATAGAAAGGGAGGCATCAAAGCTGATGCCAAGGTTTTGATTCCGAGTGGTAGAGAGAATGATGAGAAGTCATAAGGCAACAAATTTTGAGATGATGAAGAATTACATTTAAATTTGTACTATTTAAAGGAAAGTGTCTTTTAAGCAATTGACTATATAGTGGTTGTAGGGAGAAATTGGATTTTAGAAAATAAATTTTATCCAAGGAGATTTATGAGTCACTAGAGATCTGATGCATGAAATTCGTGCACTCATTTGCAGGGGAGGAGGAAGATTCCTCAGCCCGCCCTGTGCCCTCTTGCAGTCTGGGAGCCCTTAAGGGATGTCTGACTGATGGCGTAGGCCCTGTCCATCAGTTGAACATCCTTAGCGCTGTCACGGAGGCGGGAGAGGCTCCCACCACTGCCGCTGTACTCACCAGCCATGAGCCTGGCTTCTGGCTGAGTAGCGCTCCCCCTGTGGGAGTGCATGACTGCCAGGGGTGTTGAGTGGGATCAGTCTGAAACCGGCTCTCTGAAATCCCCCAGTGGGTTCCAGATTGTGAATCTGAGGCCAGGCTGAGGGACCCTATAGTTACATGATCAGGGCTGGGGAGGAATGCAAGAGGTTGGTCAGCCAGGGAGGGACCGTGGGAGAGCTCCAAGGCGTGTCCAGCCTATCTTGCTCAGTCCCAATTTGGCCAGACCCCAGCAGCAAGCTAACCTCCTGATTGGAATGTCTGCCCCCTGGTGGTCAGTGCATGTCATAGTGACTGGTTGACTTTCTGTCCCCTGGTGGTCAGTGCATGTCATAGTAAGTGGTTGAGCAGCCTTAGAATATCATTAGTATTTTATGCTTTGATTGTTTGAATGGATGACCAGACAGCATATTAAGCTTTTATTACTGTATATAGGATTACCATAGTTTTGGTAGTTGAAACTCTCATGAGCTTGTCCCTCACAAGCATGTACCAGTAAAATCAGAAGGATAAAGGGCTTAGTTTTCCTCATCTCCACTGTTACCATCTAATATAAGATAAATACCTTTGATCTTTTACAATTATCTTCTCACTTTGGCTCCTACTCAATTTATTCTTCCACATAATTCACAGCTCTGCTGATCTTTATAAATGTGGGTCTTCAAAGTTTAAAAACCTCAAAGTTTTCTTATTATACTTGGAATAAAATCCAAACAAGTGCCTTTGGCATGTCTAACAAGGTCCTGTATGTCTATAACATGTGCAACCATCCATCTAACTTTATCTTACACTGCTGTCTACTTTTCTTTCTAAATTCCTGTCATGCTGATTCTCTTTACATTTCTGGAAAACATCAGTCTTTTTCCACATCAGAGCCTTTGCTCCAACTCTTCATCTTCTGGTTCCTTTTTTATCCTTCAGTTATCAACTTAAATGTCATTTGCTCAGAGAAAATTTTCCTTACCCCCAGATGTAAAGAGTTCTCTATTATTACATCTTATTATTTTGCTTGATAGCATTTATTTGAGTTTACAATTATATAATATGTGTGTTTACTTTTGAAATATCTGCATCTCCTATTAGATTTTAAGAAATGTATTCAATGCTCAGTGCCCACTACAAAGTAAATATTAAAAAAGCACGTATTGAATGAATGGATATTTATTCAAGCCATCTATATGACTCTATACTATCATAATTAATGTTCCCTATCATTTATTTACTTTCTTTATATCATTTAATTATGATTCTTTGTGCATGGGTACTAAGTAGCTGAAACTCGAAAGCCTCATTTTTTTTTTTTAAGTCTCCCCACAGGTATAAAAGATCATTGTTATACTTTATTCAAGCAGCTGCATATGAATTTCTGTCAAGATCAAATAAAGACAGCAACATTAGCCGAAGCCGGTTTGGCTCAGTGGTAGAGCGTCGGTCTGCGGACTGAAAGGTCCCAGGTTCGATTCCGGTCAAGGGCATGTACATTGGTTGTGGGCATATCCCCAGTAGGGGGTGTGCAAGAGGCAGCTGGTCGATGTTTCTCTCTCATTGACGTTTCTAACTCTCTATCTCTCTCTCTTCCTCTCTGTGAAAAATCAATAAAATATATTAAAAAAAAAAAAGACAGCAACATTAGATGGAAGACAGGAATGGCTTTCTTTTACTATGTTCTGTTTAGAAAAATCTCTCATTTTCATAATTAGCTATAGTATTGTCTGTAAATATTATGCAAACTTCCCTGAATCCTTATAATGCAAGTTAGGTTATAATGAGGACTGAGGAGCAGTGGCCCTGAATATAAGCAATCCTCCGGGTATGAATTTTTCCAACATGCCTATGGAGCAGTATAACAGGGATAAAGGTTCATGAGATAAAGAAAGGTGGGGAAGAACCTGCTTTTTTCACTAGATCTCTTTATTTTTTACTCTTTTCCTATATTTTCTGTTTCCTCTAGGGTAGAGGGTGAAAGAAAGGAGAGTATAAGAAAAGGTGAAAAACATTACATGTAATTTGGCTGCAAAAGTCCTATAAAGAACAGGCTATACTTGGTAAAGAAGATACTGTGCAACTAGTATATCCAACCTCAAGCCCTGTCCTCTCCTTTCTCCCAGTTCCCCATTCTGGCAGAAAATTAGGTTATGTGGGATAGCTGAAGTCTGGCTACTTTCTTTGTTTTCCCATTGGCCTATAGCAGTGGTCGGCAAACTGCGGCTCTTTGGCCCATTGAGTGTTCTAACGCCACTTCAAAATAGACTCACCCAGGCCGAAAACCGACTTCACATGGGCCACAAAGTTTCAAACGCACTGTACATGAGCGCCCGCACGTGGTACTTTGTGGAAGAGCCACACTCAAGGGGCCAAAGAGCCACATGTGGCTCATGAGCCGCTGTTTGCCGACCACTGGCCTATAGGAACTCACTTCCTTGCTTCGGCAATGGATGAAGGCTAGATTCTTTTTCTTTGCTTCCTCTATTCTCTGCCATCATAAGAAGCTCTAGACACCTTCATAATATTCAAGTGGAGGCTAGCATCTATCTTCCCATTGTCAATTACTTCCAAATGCCAGGGGTCACTTACAAGGTTTACTCTCTCTCTGAGTGCCAGCCTTGGTGATCACACCATGGTCCCCTGGGTATTTTGGTTCAGCAAAACCTTACCCCTGAGAGATTTGCCTAGTCTTTATGAATAGTTATTTAGGGGCTTGTTTATTGGGAGAAGAGAAGAAAGCCAATGTACTCTCTACTTCTATGCATCCTCTTACCAAATGTTCTCCCTGCCTGACTTCTTTCCCACTCTAGTCACTTCTCAAAGCACCAGTCAGAATAACTTTTTGAAAAACTCAAATTAGGTTAGGCCATTTTTTTCTAGGAACTATCCAATGGTTCCTCATGTTAGAATCAAATTCAAATTCTTAATAAGTTCATATGTCCTCCTCCATCTGTCCTTCACCAATTTTTTATTCCATTTTCTGCTATTTTTTTTTTATTTAGCTCATTCGATTCCCTGCTTTTTCTTGAACATATCAGGCTTGCCCCTTTCCATATGCCTGGAATTTTCTTCCTCCAAACATCTATTTGGCCAGCTGCTTCATCTGCTTCTGCTTGAATGTCATATTATCAAAGAAGTCTTTGCCAGCCACTTTATCTGAAACAACACTCCCCTTCTTCTGGGATCTGAGCAATGCTGACAATGTATATTCTGGCTTTTTAAAGTTCAGAGCCATTATTTATTGAGTCTAAAATAAATATGCAAATTTTTTGCCTTATTGATTTGTTTAATGTACCCATCTATTTAGCTCATATGTTCCTAGGAAGGCAGAATCATGACCATTTTTATTAGTTTGGCATCAAATAGGTACTTAATAAATGCTTTTTGAAGCTTGGAGAAAAATCTAGATAGAAATAGTTTTTAAAGCTTTCAAAAATTTCACTGCAGGACATGTAATTTACTGCTTTATACAGTTTGATTATTGAAAGTTATAATGAATTTTTATAACTTTCTTTACTCTATTTTCTAACCCTCAAATAAAAATGTCAAATCACAATTTTTTTTAAAACAACTTCTGTCATCTTCCTCCTTTGCTTAATTAAAACCTTCAAAATCATGTGTATATGGTGGTATATGTGTACAACAACATGGATGAATCTGGAGAATATTATGCTAAGCAAAATAAGCTAGTCAGAGAAAGACAAAAACCATATGATCTCACTTATATGTGGAATCTAATGAACAAAAATAATTTAACAAACAAAATAGACACAGAAGCATAAATACATAGAGCAGACTGACAGCTCTCAAAGGGGAGGGGTTTTGGGGAGTTAGGCAAAGGGATTAAACAAAAAAAGGAAAAGAAAAGGAAAAGGCAACTCATAGTCACAGATAACAGTGTAGCAATTACCAGAGGGGAAGGGGAGTTGGGAGAGGGGTGGGATGTAGGAGAGGGTAAAGGGAGGATAAATGATGAAGGAAGAAGACTAAACTTTGGGTTGTGAACACAGAATACAATATACAGGAAATGTATTATAGAATTGTACAATTGAAACCTATATGATTTTATTAACTGATGCCACCCCAATAAATTCAATAAAATTAAAAATAAAATAAAATTTTGCTTTTAGGAATCCAGAGGATTTAATATGATTAAGAAAACCTAGATGCTAACCCTCTTAGAAGCACACCCACCCCTTTCTTCTTTCTCAGTGCACCTCTTAAACTCTAGGGGTCCCCATGGGACTTGCAACCAGGAGAGCAATGGTCAGCAGCACTTTTCCAGGCTAATCCCCTGAACCTGTCTCCAAGGCCCTCTGTTCTCTAACTTTCCAGTGGGCTAAAGCAGCTCCACCTAGCCTCTCTCCTGTTGCTTTTTCTAAACCAAGCCATTCCTTGTTTTACATACTATTAGTAAACGTACACTCAAAAGAAAAAGAAAGAAAGAAAGAAAGAAAGCCTATGACCTAGAAAGAAGGATCTTAATTGTGGATGTTTACCTGCTTTTTTTTTTTCCTTTTGGAATTCATTGGTGTGACACATTGGTTAATAAAATTATATAGTTTTCAATTATACAGTCTACAATAATAAAAGAGAAACATGCAAATTGACCATACCTCTGCTATAGCCATCAGCCAATCAGGATCAAGTATGCAAATTAACCCAACCAAGATGGCTTTAGTCACAGAGAGATCAGGAGGCTTGGGTTTGGAGGAACCCAAGCTTCCCACCCTGCTCTGGCTGGCTCTGGCCTCCACTCAAGGCTACAAAGTTTTAATTATAGATGATAAATAAATCCCAACTAAAATGGGGGCAGCCATGGAGCTGGAGAGAGCAGGAGGCTTGGTTTTTCCCCAGCAATGGAGGATGTAAGCTTCTTGCCCTGCCCTGGCCGGTCCTGGCCTCTGCTCAAGGCTACTAAGATTCAATTATGGAAGATAAATAAATCCCAGATACTAGGGCTTCTGCTTGGGTCGCTGGGGGGCATGGCTGGCCTGCAAACCACTGCAGGCCCTTCACACAGGCCCCATATATCCCAAGGGAACCTCCACCCTGATCCGGGATATCCTTCAGGACAAATCAGCCATCCCCTACCAGTGCATCAGTCCTCTATCCTATTTAATAAAAGAGTAATATAAAAATTATCTATCACTACAACACACAAGATGACTGCCCCCATGTGGTCAAAAATGGCTGCCCCCATGTGGACACAAGATGTCCAGCAGGGAAGGGACCAAGCCAGCAAGGGAGGGTAGTTGTGGAAGATCAAGCCTGCAGGGGAGGGCAGTTAGGAGTGACCAGGCCAGCAGAGGAAAGAAGTTAGGGGTGACCAGGCCTGTAGGGGGGAGCAGTTAGGGGCAATCAGGCTGGCAAAGGAGCAGTTAGGCATTAATCAGGCTGGCAGAGGAGTGGTTAGGGGAAATCAGGAAGGCAGGCAGGCGAGCAGTTGGGAGCCAGCAAACTTGGATTGTAAGACTGGGCCTACACGGGCAGTTGGACATCCCTCGAGGGGTCCCAGGATGGAGAGGGTGCAGGCTGGGCTGAGGGATGCCCTCCACCGCCCATGCATGAATTTCATGCACCTGGCTTCTAGTTCTGTAATATATTTACTCTTTATTGAGGATGATTATGACTAACTCCATGAAGACTTACTAAGAAGATAGAAACATGAAAGACATTGAAACAGCTGACCACTACTCGCTTTTGATGATGAAGGAAACCATCAAAAGAAACAGAATGGTTGAAAAGTGACTTTGGAATCCTGGAGAACTCAAATGGTTTAAAAAAAAAAAAAAAAAAAAGGAGATATTGAAAGTGAATACCTAACTGAATATATAAATACTCTGAGATAAAAATGGCTTTTCCAAATTAATTGGGCACCTGGGAAAAGCTGGAATATATTTTACAAAGTCTAGAAGGAGAGTTTGCAACTCAGATTTATAAATATTTTAGAGATAGAGATAATTTTTATAAAACACTTTAATCCAAATGATTTATAGGATAGCAGGTCTAACACTGACAAATCAGTAGTGAAAAGGATACATTTTTTACTGAAGAAAATAAGGAAGAGTGTCATAACAACACTTTTGGCTTTATATCTATTCATACCAATGCAGAGCATAAATAATGAAAAAAGTGAACTGGACATGTTAAGGCAAGGATGTAGTTATCTTGAGATAAGGATGGAATGGGATTTAGAAATAGAATTGAATAATTAAATGACATAAAGACACACCTTGCTCAAAGTAAACCTCATGTCTGAACTTAATCTGATCAATGAGAGAGAACTGCTTGGAGGTGTGGAAGTGTTAAAGGCCATGAGTAATGGCGATCATATCATTTTTGGAGTTGCAAAACCAATGAAAGGGAATAAGGGAACATCAGGCCCACTAAGTCATGGTAAATAATGATAGTTCTTATTTATTGAACAGTTAAAATATTCAGGACACTGCACTTTACTAAGTGTTTTACATTGATTGTAAAACAATTTTTCTATTTCATTTCTGTCTATTTATTTACTTATTTATTTAAATATATTTTTATTGATTTCAGAGAATAAGGGAGAGGGAAGGAGATAGAAACATCAATGATAAGAGAGAATCCTTGATTGGCTGCCTCCTGTAGGCCCCACACTGGCATCAAGCCCGCACCCAGGGCATGTGCCCTTGCCTGTAATTGAACCATGACCTCCTGGTTCATAGGTTAATGGCAACTAGGCTCTATATACTTCTTTCATGCTTTCTGAGCTCCAAAATCCTTAGTGTTTCCCAAATATTGAACTTATTAAGTGAATGTCCTACTTTGCCTGGGCAATTCGTGGACAGTCTTTAAGACCTAACTCACATAACTCCACCTTTTTAAAGCCATACAAAGGTGGTTAGTTTTCCCTCTGAATCCACATGGCATTCTGTACATATTTCTATTGTAGCACTTGGGATGTTGTAAATAAATATAGTTATATATCTTTCTTTCCTTCTAAACGTTGAGTGTTCCAGGGAAAACATTTTTGTTGTTGTTGTTAATCCTCATCCAAGGATTATTTTTTCCATTGATTTTTAGAGAGAGTGGAAGGGAGGGAGGGGAGAGAGACAGAGAGACAGAAAGGAAGAGGGAGGGAGGGAGGGAGGGAGGGAGGGAGAGAGAGAGAGAGAGAGAGAGAGAGAGAGAGAGAGAGAGAGAGAGAGAGAGAGAGAGAGAGAGAAACATCAATGTGAGAGAGCCATAAATTGGTTACCTCCTGCATGCACTCTTGACCTGGGCTGGGGATTGAACCTGTAAACCAGGTATGTGCCCTTGATATGGAATTGAACCCATGACCCTTCAGTGTATGAATCAGCACACTAACCACAGAGCACACCAGCCAAGGCCAGAGGGGAAACAATTTTAAACATATTTCTCAGCCCTTAGTAAATATTCAGAATGTTTATTGACTGGATGATGAGAGCATGCAGATAGTTTATATTAATTCAAGTCATTAGGGGCAAATGAAATACCAAAATATCTAGCTGTGATTTTGGAGCTATTGCCAAGTATCTTGGAGGAATTTGAGATAGTAGAAGTGTCAAAAGACTAGAGATAGCCAATGTCTCAATTTTCATAATGGGTATAAAAGTGTATCTAAAAATCATAGACTCAAAAGCTTTAAGCTATACATAATTATATGTAGATCAGATTATTAGTCAGATGGCTTATGAGCACTTTAGGTAAAATACTGAAAAGTACATTTCTATTGTATTAAAACCCTTCTTAGTTGATTCCTATAAACCTGTAAATGTTTGCTTTAGAACAGTAAAATTGTATCAAACTCTTTTTCTATATTTCTTAAAAAGTACTGACTGAGAACAGTGGCTGTGTATTCTGTAAGGCACTTATTGATGTCTCTAATGGACTCTATTGTGGTTTTATGTGGGTCAGATGATGTTTTTGTGTGTTGAGAACTATATAACTCTGTGCCAGGGTTTCCTATTTCAGTAGTTTGCTTTACATCTTCTTTTCCCCCAATATTCATATGCCATCTCTACTTTTATATAGCTAAATTTTTATTTAAGTCAACTCATTTTTTAAAAAAAATATGTTTTTATTGATTTCAGAGAGAGGAAGGGAGGGGGAGAGAGAAATAAAAACATCTTTGAAGAAAGAGAATCATTGATTGGCTGCTTTCTGCACACCCCCTACTGAAACCCTGGCATGTGCCCTGACAGGAATTGGACCATAACCTCCTGGTTCATGGGTCAGTGCTCAACCACTGAGCTACACCAGGTGACCTAAGTCAATTCATTTATTAACTTAAACTTAGCCTTATCCTAAATGAAAATATTTATAAAGTCACAGATTTGTACCTATTGATAAATATCTTTTCTAATATGCCTTGTAACAAAATGCAAAATTATGAACATAAAAATGATTACCCATGTATCCTCTTGAATACAATCAGTAAAAAATTCATAACATTTTGTGCTACAATCATTGTTTAAAGTATGGGGGAGTTTAAGTTAATTCCAAATACTGTTGAATGATTTTTATCTATTGCAGCTTTTCAGGGTACACAAAAGCAGTTGGTCAGTGGATTGATATTGAGTTGGAGGGGTGTTTTGAGCAACAAATTTTAAGGCTTGACCTTTGTTCTAAACTACTTGACATTTAAAAAAATATATATTTTATTGATTTGACACAGAGAGTAATTGAGAGGGAGAGAAAGTTAGAAATGTCGATGAGAGAGAAACATCGACCAGCTGCCTCTTGCACTCCCCCACTGGGGATGTGCCTGCAACCAAGGTACGTGCCCTTGACCAGAATCAAACCTGAGACCTTTCAGTTCGCAGGCCGACGCTCTATCCACTGAGCCAAACTGGTTTCAGCAACTACTTGACATTGTTATTATTGACCTGAAGAAACATGTGGGGAATGAATTCAATTGGAAGTGAAATAACATGGAAGGGATAACTATAATAATATATTAGATAACGGGAACTACTCAAAAATTTTTGTTAGGTTTGCATTATAGGCAAGTAGTAGGGACATATAAAGAATTAATATACCCTGTTTCCCCGAAAATAAGACAGTGTCTTATATTAATTTTTGCTCCCAAAGATGCGCTAGGTCTTATTTTCAGGGGATGTCTTATTTTTCCATGAAGAAGAATACAGTACACATTTATTGTTAAATGAAAGTAAAGGAAATTTATTACCTGTATATGGTACGGTAGTACAGTAGTTGTCAACACAAACCAGACAAACTGTGAATCCTACATTATCAAGAATTTACTCATTTATTCAATGACAATCATGTCATCATCTTCTGGAACATCATCATAACAATCTAATTCCTGAATTTCCTGGTGAATTTCTTGTGACTCCATTTCTTCCAGAATCAGTGGACCAAATCCCTCCTTTAGCCTAAGGGGGGGGGGAGGGGCTTATTTTCAGGGCGATGCCTTATATTTCACTCAGAAGGAAACCTGTAAGTAGGTCTTATTTTCGGAGGATGTCTTATTTTCGGGGAAACATGGTATTATTAGATTGAGACAACGTACATACATAGAGGAGAAGAGCCGGCAAAATTACTTTGGAATTTTAATTGCTGTAAATGCTTTAGGAGCAAAAAATTTGACATAGATATCATCCTTGAAAGCAAATGCAAACTTAGATTTTAGTTGTAAAGGTAATATGTGCAAGGAAGTGCTTTAAAATGAAATGTCCAAATGAAGAGAGTTAAATATCCTTTAGCTGTTCAATTTGTATTTGAAATATTCAATTCCAGGATATTCTCTAGGAAAATTATTGAGCTGCAGATCTGATCCTATGTGAAAAGTTGAAGGAAATTTGCATAACTCTAAAGAAAAAAAATTCTAAATTGGGGCATGAGAATTGCTTTTCAAAAACAATATTGGAAAAGTTTTAACACAGGAGAAAATTTTTATTTATCCTGCATAGTCTTAGTAAGCAGATTTGATTTCATCTCCATAAAAATTAAAACAGTCACAGATACTTTCTTACAAGGAAGGAGTAAGCTCCCAGAAGTCCTGTATGGTTATGGTTTCTTTTTTTATTTTAATTTTTATAATCACATTGTTAAAAAAAAAGGTGTTTTTATTTTTAAAAGTAAAAATTTAAAACTACTTGAGAAGGGGAGTGGTTGGGGGGAGACTCTTGCTTCTACAGCTTAATAACTGAATATCATTGACTGATTCCTTAACTTCTCTGAGCCTGAAGTTCCTTTTCTAGACAATGGGGATAACAACATTTTCCATGCTGGATGGTTGCAAAGATTAAATTAATGCTATAAATGCAAATTCCTGGCACTGCAGGACTTCAGTGTAAGTAGTTTTCTTTTCCTTGCATTTGGTCTTGAGTTTACTTTTGGAAAGGACAGCCAAAAATTAGTGGGCAGGCTAAAATTCAGCCCTAATTTTGGATCTACAACAGTCCAGCCTGACTTATGATTTGAAAGTTTTGTGGTATGGGAAAAGTAAAAAGAAAGAAAGAAAAAGTCTGAAGATATATATATATATATATATATGTATATTTTTTTGTAACTAGTGGAATCCTTCATAATTTGATATTTCTGTCTTCACAGATGAGTTCAATAGTTATTATTTTCTTGCCCGTCTTAATGGCCAATCACTGTGGGCCACATGGCCTATTCAGTTTAGTTGTAATATGGGCAAAATCTTCAAATCATCCATTTCACATTCCTGTTCATTGAGTTTTGACAGTAATTAAATTAGGTGGTTGTTTAATGTTCCAATGAACTGCTTTACAAATCAACCCTCAAATTACTTTATAGAATTCTCACTTCAGTCAAGTAAACATATTTGAAAATTTAGGCTAACTTATTACAATTATGTTTTCAGATTTAACTACTTTGGGGAGAAAAATGTAAATGAAGGAAAACCTCAGACCAGGGCATCATCATTCAACCCAGGCAAAAGCCAAACTATGTCTTGGCAATTCATCAAAATATGTCATCACTTCCTGTTGTTTATGTAAATATACATGTATACAAGTCCTTTGGTTGATCTCTATATTCTAGATCTCTATATTTTAGATTCTATATTCAAGAAGTTAATATTTTTATAAAGAGATTATTCTTCCTAGATATATGGGCAGGTGACAATCATTGCTACTGCTCTTATTTACAAAGGGAAACCAATCTCTAGGATTTCTAAATGGTAGTGTTCTTGTGCTTCCATGGTGTAATTATTATTTTTCTATGTATAATGTTTTTATTTTTTACAAAAAATAAGTTTTGCTTTTAAGTGTTTGTGCTCAAATAATGTTAAACCACCACTATTCAGAGATGATAGTTTAGGGAAAAAAGTATAGAGATAAATGTTTAAGAGATAGTCCATTACTGACATGGTCCATTACTTCCTCACTAATCCTTCACTTTGATTTATTAAACCATACAATCTTAATTTGAAATCAAACCACTTTCTGGCAGCCATGTCCCCTCTTGGGATGTCTTGGCCTCAGTGCCTGGTTTGTTTCTCTCAGTTGCCAACGAAGCTTTGCCTGAGGAGCAGGTGGCCCATTAGTCCTTTTTCTTCTCCCTTCCCAGACTGCTCACATTAGTCGCAGAAAAGATCTAGTTTGCTTTTTATAGTCATGCTACTTTGGAAGTCCCTTTTTATTTTTCTTTGATGCCTGCTAATAACATATTATAAACCATATTCCTTTCTAAACATAATCCAGTGAGTTAAAAAAT